TTGACCTGAATTGCATTATTATTGTTTATGCGAAGAAAAAAAAGGAAAGCGCAAGCTTTTCCTGTAGATTGTATTTCCATTTTAAAATAAAAACAATTTTCCCAACAAAAATAAAAATAAAAATAAAAGCTTAGCAACACTGTATTAAAGAATCTCTACAAATCCATCTTTAAATTCAAAGTATGAAGCTATTCCTAATGAATCTATCAGTGCTATGAACTGAATGTTCATGCTGAAACCCTAGTCCCAAATGTGGTGATATGAGGAGGTGGGCCTTGAGGAGGTGATGGGGTCAGGAGAGGGGAGCCCTCATGATGGGAGGAGACCTTCATAAGAAAAGGCGTGAGAGCTCTTGCTTCCCTGACCTCCCGCCAACCCTGTGAGGACACAGAAAGAAGATGATCATCTGTAAACCAGGAAGAGAGCTTTCACCAGAATCTGACAATGGTGGCACCCTGATCTTAGAATTCTCAAACTCTCGAAATGTGAGAAATATTGTCTGTTGTTTAAGCCATACAGTCCTGTGGTATTTTGTGACTGCAGCACAGCAGACTAAGATATCAATGAAGCAATACATTCAAAAGTGAATCAAAAAGCTATGAGAATAAACTTCTAACTTAATTTGGCAAATCATTTACCTTTCAGTAAAGCGTGAGAGATCACAGTGAAAAGTGAGAGGGGTCTAAAAACGTTAGGAGCAGAAGTTCACAATTGGGAAGGCGAAATATTTTATCCAAAGGTGCTCAAGAAAATAAGAATTCACTGAAAACGACAATGGCCTGAAATACATAGGACCATCTGACTCTCAATGTAGTCTGATAGTTCCTTTGTAAAGTCTCCTCTTCCAAGACTGTTCATAAACCACATCATTCCTTTAATGCAGCTGACTGAGCTAGGGGTATAAAAGACAAAACAGAAATTCCACATCTGACTGCAGCCAAGGCCATGCTAAACCAGCACACTGTGGCTCTGGAGGCTGTGATGGTCTCAAGACAGCCCATTCTAGAAGTTTTGTTTGGACACTGCTAAGCCCCAAGAGAAGAAGCTCAGGGAAAAGATGAGCAGGACGTACCTTCTGATCTCAACCAGGAGTGTGGTCCACTGGCCCAAAAAAAAAAAAAAAAGTTTACCTGTTATCCCACTAGCTAGAGAGATTCTCCTTTCTTTTTTCCTTATTATTATTTTTTTTTTGAGACAATCTTGAGACAACCACAGCAGACAACCGGAGACTGAGGAAGAACCTAGAATAGGTCCCAGAGGGGCAGTGGGAACACTCCAGATCCCTGTCTTCCCTACTTTGGGAAAGGTTCTTCTAAAAGAAGGTCTTTAATCACATTCAGCTTCTCAGCCTAGGCCACCATACAAAAACCTCTGGAGGCCTAGCTTGGCCAAAGCCACTTCTACTGGTGGCCTTTTGTTGTTATTGTTGAGACAAGGTCTCGTTCTGTCTCCTAGGCTGGAGTGCAGTGGCACAATCTCAGCTCACTGCAACCTCTGCCTCCCTGGTTCAAGGGATTCTTGTGCCTCAGTCTCCCAAGTGGCTGGGACCACAGGCACGCACCACCACGCCCGGCTAATTTTTGTATTTTTAGTAGAGATGCGGTTTCACCATGTTGACCAGGCTGGTCCTGAACTCCTGACCTCAAGCAATCCACCTGCCTACCTGCCTCAGCCTCCCAAAGTGCTAGGACTAAACGCATGAGCCACTGCGCCCGGTCACCCACTTGTTTTTTAACCCTATGAAACACATTTCCTAAGTTTTGTCCCAGAGGCCATATGCTTTGAACTACCGATTGGTCACTAGTACATTTATATAAAAATAATGTGTTTTATTAAATAGGATATTTTCCTTCTGGAGGAAAAACAAATTTTTACTTTTTGTTTTATAAATAACAGCAGTACATGTACGTTGGGGAAAACTGAGAATGTAACAGACGAAAAAAAAAAAAAGTTTTTTCTTGAGACAAGGTCTCACTCTGTTACCCAGCTGGAGTATAGTGGCACGACCACGGTTGACTGAAGCCTCGACCTCCCAGGCTCAAGAGATCTTCCAGCTTCAGCATCCTGAGTAGCTGCGACTACAGGTGCACGCCACCACGTCCTGCTAATTTTTTTTTTTTTTTTTGTAGACACTGGATCTTGCCATGTTGCCCAGGCTGGTGTTAAACTCCTGGACTCAGGTGATCCTCCCACTTCGACCTCCCAAAGTGCTGGGATTATAGGCTTGAGCCACTATGCGCAGCCGAGATACCACACCACTTTCTTATGTATTTATTTCAAGATATATTTCAGTCTTTATTAGATTTTTTAAATTTAAAAATAGAATTTAATGTATTGCTTCATACCTGTTTAATCCATTTAACAACATAACCTTAAATGCATCATTAAATTTTCTTCCATAACATTATTCTTAATGGCTGCAAAATAAATTTTTGTATTGAGATAGCATAAATTAACAAATCCTCTATTGTTGGAAAAATAATGTTTCTGATTTTTCTTTACTCTAAATAAGCTGCTATGAATATCCCAGTAGTTAATTATTTGCAATCACTCTTCATTACTTCTTTAGGATAAATTCCTACTAGTGGATTGCTAGATTTAAGCATATCTAATTTTTTTAACAATTTTAAAACTTATTGCCAAAGTACATACTCTAAAAAGATCTTAACAATGTACACATGCACTAACAGAGTTTTCCCTATCATTCATTTCCATTAAAAAAGAACACATTTACTTGTCACTCATTAAATCCTAGAAATGGTTGTAGGTGTATGCCTACAAAGATAAATTAAGCAAGAAGTTTACAGCCCATTTATTCATCAATCCAGGGGGAGAGAAATTGGGGTTGATGGATCTTAACTCATAAACACCGAACCTGCAGAATGGATTACCGGATGCTGTCCGTGCCCATTTTGAAGACAAGCAGCCCTGGAAAGCCCTAGCTTTCTCTTCCCTATGTCTAACCAAGCACCTCAATTAAACATGAAAAATGATCTTAGATGCATGTTCCAGCTGGCTCCTGTCTGAGCCGAAGGAATTAAAGAAAGAGAAAAGCAAAATATTGCAATCCTCTTTATTCCTCCTCGTAGTCGGCAATTAATTGAGTTTTCTCAATACTGTTAGTTTTAAAAGATGCTGTGGACAAAAAAGAAAAAGCTCTCCAAATGCCCACTGTCACTAATTCCCCACTTTGATCCTAAGTTAGGATGCTCTTGTGTCACAGGCATCCCCAACTGAAGGGCAGACAGGACGTGACGTCAGAACTGGTTTGGTACCACTTCTGAACTGCCCATGGGCCTCCGCCTTTCAGTTCCTTTAAACAGGAACTCAAAGCAGTTACTGCGGGTCTCCACAGAGCCCCCAAAATAACAGGACAGGCCTTGTGGCAGTGCCTCTGTGACAAGGACTCCATTTACAATCTGTTATTTTCTCCCTGTTGCTTACGTGGGTAGAAGCAAGGACCTGCCCCTCACTGGCTCATCTCCACAGGGCTCATCTCTTATGACTCATTTACTCCTGAAACCCATCTGCAGAGGGCATCTTCTTTTAGACTCAGGTGCTATGCCTTTCTGGGTCACATATGGCCTACTTAATACAGAAACGAAAATATCCAGCTAGGTACAATGGCTCATGCCTGTAATTCTAGCACTTTGGGAGGCCGGGGTGGCAGGATCACTGAAGATCAGGAGTTTGAGACCAGCCTGGGCAACACAGCAAGGTCCTGTCTCTACAAAAAAAAATTTTTTTTAATTAGCCCAACATGGTGGCATATGTCTGTACTTCCAGCTACTTGGGAGGCTGAGACGGGAGAATCACTTGAGCCCAGGACTTTGAGGCTGGAGTGAATTGTTATCACAACACTGTACTCCAGCCTGGGTGATGGAGCGAGTCCCAGTCAGAAAAATAAAAAAAGAAAAGAAAATATATTTGCAAACCCCATAGACAGCACTTCTTGCCCTGCTATAAGTGACTTTTATTTTCTTAAAACAATACATGCCAGGCATAAACAAATTTTGAATTGTATTTTTTACTAATTTGACAAAGCCTCAAGACACTCCTTATCAAATAGTATAGGATTTTCTTACACTGTTATAAAAATTTATTTATTTATTTATTTAAATTGCAGATTCAGGAGGAACAAGCACCTCAATTAAACATGAAAAATGATCTTAGATGCATGTTCCAGCTGGCTCCTGTCTGAGCCAAAGGAATTAAAGAAAGAGAAAAGCAAAATATTGCAATCCTCTTTATTCCCCCTCATAGTTGGCAATTAATTGAGTATTCTCAATACTGTTATTTTTTACCCAGGTTTGTTACCTGGGTAAATTGCATGACTCTGAGGTTTGGAGGTATGATTAATCCTGTCACCCAGGTCGTGAGCACAGTATCCCAAAGTTAGTTTTTCCACCCTTGCTCCCCTCCCCCTTTTTGTATTCTCTAGTGTCTACTGCTCCCATCTTTATGTCCATGTGCACCCAATGCTTAGCTCCTACTTATAAGTAAAAGCATGCAGCATTTGGTTTTCTGTTTTTGCATTAATTTGCTTGGGATAATGGCTTCCAGTTGCTGCTAAAGACATGATTTCATTCTTTTTTATGGCTGCACAGTATTCCATGGTGTGTATGTACCAGTCCACCACTGATGGACACCTAGGTGGATTCCATGTCTGTGCTATCGTGAATTGTGCTGTGATAAACATTCTACCAAAAAACACCTGAACTCATGTAATTTATTTCCCTTTGGGTGTATACCCAGTAATGGGATTGCTGGGTGGAACAGTAAGTCTCTATTCAGCTCTTTGAGAAGTATCCAAGCTGGTTTACAAAGGGGCTGAACTAATTCACAATCCCACCAACAGTGTAGGATGAGAGTTCCCCTTTCTCCACAACCTTGCCAACAAAAATACACCAACTTTTTCTGATTATAATGATATAACAATAATTTATATTTTTAGAAATTAGAGGATGCTTCAAAATAGGTAATAAAAAGAAAGCACATACCTGATAAAAGTTAGGCCAGAAAGTACTAATGGCCAGTTCGGCCCTGTTCCATGTACGTGTTGGGTCTCCAGATATATTCCAGATAGGACTCCCCAGTGGCCCGTTATTGACCTTCACGTAGACATTGAGTAACCCCGGAGGAGAATTACTCTTGCTGGACACAAAATAGTGAAAATCGATGCAGTGGGTGTCATTTTCTTTAAGTTGGGGTAAGAGCAGGTGGGCTCTCTGCCCCTCAGGTCTCCCAGAGGCATTCACCAGCATGAAAGAACCTGCAAAAACAAAATCAAGGAGAGTCACACCCTGAAACACTACTTTCTGGTTATTTCTGAAAACCCACCATCATTTACATGGGTTGGCCCTGCAATTCCATGTCTTACTGAAACTGCCATTTATTTCATTCCTATTTCATTTATCACCTCCTCCTCTTCCTGTCATCCCCCTATGTGTTCTCAAGAGCGCACATAATATTAATGGAAAATTCCCTGGATGTTACTGTAATTTGACTTCTAAATAACAGAAATGTAGCAAAACGTTTGTAGACTCGCCTTAAATTCTAGCAGTCAGGAGTCACAGGTGATTAATTAAATTAAAAATTGAAATTCCTTATGTAAAATGCATGTCCTCATTCACACCAACCGTGTTTCACGTGCTCAATAGCCACATGTGACAAGTAGCTACCACACTGGGCAGCACAGATACAGAGCATCCCCACCTAGCAGAAAGTTCTACTGAACAGCACTGTCCCATCATGTTAGCATTACTCAGTAATCACTTTGTATAACCCAGAGAAAAACAAAAGATTAGGTGGTCTGTGAATCTTAGGGTCATGATACTGGCCCCATCATGTTCCCTGCTGTCAATGTAATTCAGCACCAGTACCCACCTCCATCGCTGGAACAACTGACTTCTCCTTGACAGTGGAGGTGTTCTCACAACAAGGTGATGACTTAGGCAATCACTGCCCCACCTGGAGGACAATCATTCTAAGAAGTCTTACGAGCTCTTTGGATCTTGACGCAATGGCCCTAACCTACCTGGGAGTGCTGAGGAGCTTCCAGATGGATTCAAGCTTTCCAGATACCAAGCACTTGAGCCTTCCCCATAGGAATTTTATATTTCACAGAGTAAAAGATAAAAGCAAAATGTTCAAACATAAAAGGGGAAATAGGTTTTCATAGGTCTGATTCAGCACAGAGGAAAAAATGTATTGAAATTCTAAGGAGGAAGTACACCTGAACTTGGAGTATAAAAATGAAAAAAATAAAAATACTACACAGATGGGTACCCTCATTGTGAATCATAATGTTCAAGGTGTGTATACATGTTAATATGTGTTTATTGTCTACCCACACATATCAGGAAACACACACATACACAGTACTAGAAAATGTATGGAATTTCTGTCTTGTTTACATGCTGTGATTGCCTAAACAGCAAAACAGGAAGACCACCCTTTTATAGTAATTCCCAAAGAATTCCTGTAAGTATCAAATGGAAAACACAGATGTAGATATCCTTCACAGATTAAGAGGTTGTTGTTAAAGGATCTATATTATCATATGCTTTCTTATGGTTGCTACCTTTACAGCTATGAGGTGAGCCAGGTTTACCACCATTTATGACAAACAGGAACGGGGTCACAGAGAGATTAGAAGCAGTTTATCTACGTTTTAGGATGAGTTAGTGGCAAAACCAGAACTTTGAGCTTCTGAGTTTCCAGCCCATTACTCATTCTGCCACACTCCAGTAACCTCAAGTTTCTTCATGTGCTCTTTGAACATATATGAAACAAACACCCTTTCAAAGCAGTGAAGGGAAATTATAGTAGCTATTTTGAAACAGAGCAATTTTTCAAGCAATGAATGTTATGCACCTAGAAATACAAAAGCCAAGTCACAAGCGAACCTGTCTATGAAATATAACTTACCTATGAAATACATTTCAGCATTAAGGAAGAACTTTAACTGTGATTTAAGAAAGAGTTGGGGCAGAGAAAGAACAAGTGGCAAGAGAGTATCATTGAAATAATTCAGGTTAGTTATCGCTTACAAATGTAAAAAATCTTCAAAACATGCAGGGTTGATGAACCCCATCACAAATCCAGAGTAGGACGTTGGTGTATATGAGTTACAGATAGTTTTTTTCTGCTCTTAGTACAATAAAAGCTGATTTATGTCAGATTCTATCACTGGGGGCTCTGTTATCTACAACAGTTACCACAAATATTGTTATTAGTGGCGCTGAGGCATGACATGTTCTTGAGGTCACGTCTGAATGAACAAAACCTTGAGTGTGACCATATTGCCAAGAAGATTGTTTCTCTCATTGTTCCCATCACTTAAGCTTGGGCAACCAGGGTGGAAAGCATGGCAATATACACAGGATGGCAAAATAAGTGTTGCCCACATCCTGTGAAGCACTCAGAGGAGTCTCCTTTCACATATTTACATAAACTGGGTACCTTTCTACCATTACTGTTTAGGAAATCACCCAGTTTTCCAAAACTGTTATTTTTCTAGCTACACAGCCTGCCTCCAATGTTTAATCCACTGTGCTCCATTCCAGCATGAAATGCTCTTACACTCTTGTGTCTAAAGTACACAATAATTTTTATGTTGAGATCCAGGTGAAATTCAGGTATAATCTAAGTTACTCAAGTGATCCTAGCTTTTAAAGTCCTTTCTCTTCCTTTTTTCCCTGTTTGACTTAGAATAGTCTATTTTGCTTTGAGGCATGCTTCTGTAATGCAAATTAGCTCACATAGGATTACTAGATGGGGAGTGACATCCCTATTACACACAAGTCCTTTTGGTTTATGTGCAATTTTTTGCAGGACATTAACATTGTGAAGTGATCAGGGGCAACTGTTCTCTCAAATAAAGGGAAAGCTTTATCAGTGCATGATGTCTTTTAAACAAAGCTAAACATCCCACAGAAGTGTCTTTCCTCAATGCAAGGAGTGGCAAGAAGGGGCTTTGGTGGTTTCATGTCCCTTTCCACTCACTCCTAAGCTGTCTCCAAAACTGTAAGAACGAGTGCAGAACTGTGCAGCCTCTGCGCCCTACCTCTGTGTTTCAAAAGGACAAAAAAGGAAAGGACTGATGAAGAAGACAAATCTCAGATCATAGTTTTAAGTTGACAGCAAGTAGTCTCTATTAGAAGAGAATGTTAGAAGAGAATGACTTCAAGGACTTCTATGGAGAGTGGGAAGAAGTGGAGGCCTTGGGTTCAGGGTCTGAGGTTCAGGGCCGAGGATGGGCTCACGGGGTCTGTGCCAGAGTGGAGTTCAGAGAGCCAGCACTTTTATTAGCTTTGTCACTGTTTTTGTTCACTCGCCAGCTACAAAGCTGCATAGATTTGGAAGGGTCAGCCCCAACCCCGTTCTTCTCACAAGATCTGCTATTTTCCCTCTCTCTTTTTTTTAGAGACGGAGTTTTGCTCTTGTCGCCCAGGCTGGAGTGCAACGGCGCAATCTCGGCTCACTGCAACCTCCGTCTCCTGGGTTCAAGCGATTTTCCTGCCTCAGCCTGCCGAGTAGCTGGGATTATAGGTGCCTGCCACCATGCCTGGCTAATTTTTTATATTTTTAGTAGAGACTGGGTTTCACCATGTTGGTCAGGCTGGTCTTGAACTACTGACCTCAGGTAATCCATCCACCTTGGCCTCCCAAAGTGCTAGGATTACAGGCATGAGCCACTACACCCAGCCCTAGATCTGCTATTTTCAGCCTGTGATTTTGTGAAATTCATGAGAGGCTTCTCAAGTGCAGGGGCAGGACTTTGGTGAAAATGCAGACTCTACGAACACTCTTCCTCTGGGAGAGGTTCAGGTCCTCGGGAGGCAATTCTATCTCGACTGCCCCCATGGCTAGTCTCTCCCAAATGATCTGGAAATCAATTGAGCAGCACACAGATTTCAACACTCATGATCTTTTAGAGGAAAAGTCTCTGCCGAGCACCTTCCCCTGAGGTACACTCCTCTGCAAGATTCCCTTTTTCCCTTCCTCTACAGTCTCCCAACTGGTGTATCTATGCAGCCTGATAATTAACCACGAATGCATACAAGGTAAGTGGGACAAAGCCCGCCACAAAGCATAAGCCCAGCAAATGCTCCTGACTTTCATTATGATGACTTTAGCTCCTCGAACCTACTAAATGTATGGCTTTTTAAAATTATGTGGCTTTTTTTTGGAGACAGGGTCTCACTCTGTCCCCCAGGTTGGAGTGCAGTGGGAGGATCACGGCTCATAGCAGCCTCGACCTCCTGGGCTCAAGTGATCCTCCCCTTTCAGCCTCCCGAGTAGCTGGGATCACAGGTATGCATCACCACACCCGGGTACTTTTTTAAAATTTTTTATTTTGTAGAGAGGGAGTCTTACTATGTTGCCCAGGCTGGTCTCTAACTCTACGATTAAAGCAATCTTCCTGCCTCACCCTCCCAAATGTGAGGATTACAGGTGTGAGCCACTGTGCCCAGCTGGAATTCTTTACCATTTATTTCTATCTCCCCCTGTTCACCTCACAACTCTCCTGGTCCTACTATAATTCACCTAAGTGTAAATTTTTAAGTTTCCTTTCTTTAAGAGAGAAGAACATTAGTACTGAGATAACACAAAACCTTCAACTCAATTAATCTTGCCCTTGTGTTTTTGGGGAAAGGTTATCTTTATTTCAGTGTGTGGCCATCAGGACTTAACTCAGAGCTTTAAAGTACATAAAGGTGACGTTTCTGTCCACACTCGTGTTTCCTGACAGTGGTGTTTCCTGACAGTGGTGTACTATTATGTGCCAATGAGTTTACAGAAGCAAATGTGAAAGTCTAGCAACCTGCAGTCAAGTTACAATGGGCAGCAGGGAGGGAAGTGTTGCTTCTTTGTTTGTTTTTATCACCTATCCGCTATGAAGGTATAAAGTCAACTCACCAACCAATGTTTAGAGAATTACAGAATTCAAAGCATTTATATTCAATTTTAGACTATTAAGTCTGTTTTTTAAGCTATCCCTATATGGCTGAATGTTTAATTTTCACCTTCTGCTTAAATGCTTTGACTGAGGAAATGCATTTTCAAAGAGTAATTGGGTCTCCCTCTGTAGTTACTTACTTACTTCAATTCTTTCCTCCTACAAAAAGCATTCCAACTGGGTAAATTTTTTAAGAATCATAATCCAAATTAGCATAGAAATTCTGTTTGTGTTCAGATAACAAAACACCCTTAAGTCACTAGTATATAAGTAGAAAATATATCATTGCAAGCAAATGAAATGAGCTC